AGGATGTGGAATCTGCTTGCAGCTGGCCCATTGGCAGCATTTTTCCATTTATAATAGGTTGTATGAGGCAAAGTTTTTTAAATACTCTTTTCATATGTATATCTTATAGCGTCTTCTAGATTATGAAACTCTAGGAAATGATAGTGTTGTTTTAAAGGACCACTATAGTGCCAGGACAACAAACTCGTTTTCCTGGCACTATAGGGTCTTTAGGTCCCCCCCACCTTCAGGGTCCCACTCCCGCCGGGCTGAAGCAGGAGGAAGGGGTTAATCACTTACCTTTCTCCAGCACTGGATTCACTCGGCGCTGGGGAAATCTCCTCTCTCTTCCGACATCACCACCAAATGCGCATGTGCGGCAAGAGCCGCACGCGCATTCATTCAGTCCATAGGACTTTCTCAATGCTTTACTATGGATGTCAGCGTCTTCTCAATGTGATTTTCACAGTGAGAAGTGCGGAAGCGCCTCTAGTGGCTGTCTCATTGACTGGATTAACCCTAACGTAAACATAGCAGTTTCTCTGAAACTGAATATATATATACATACACACACACATACACTGCTGTGTATGTGTGTGTGAGGGTGCTGTGTGTGGGCACTGTGTGTAGGTGCTGTGTGTGTGTGTGAGGGCGCTATGTGTTTGTGAGGGTGCTGTTAATGTGTGTGTGTGTTTGTATGTGTAAGGGTGCTGTGTGTGGGCACTATGTGTAGGTGCTGTGTGTGTGTGAAGGCGCTGTGTATACATGAGGGCACTGTGTGTGTGTGAGGGTGCTGTTAGTGTGTGTGTTTGTATGTGTAAGGGTGCTGTGTGTGTGTGTGCTTGGGAGGGTGGTGTGTGTGTGTGTGTGTGTAATGGTGCCGTGTGTGTGTTTGTGAGGGTGGTGTGTGTGTGTGTGTGTGTAAGGGTGCTGTATATGTGAGGGTACTGTGTGTGTGTGTGTTAGGGTGCTGTGAGTGTGTGTGTGTGTGTATGTGTAAGGGTGCTGTGTGTGTGTGTTTGTGAGGGTGGTGTGTGTGTAAGGGCACTGTGTGTGTGTGAGGGTGCTGTTAGTGTGTGTGTGTGTGTGTGTGTGTATGTGTAAGGGTGCTGTGTGTGAGGGTACTGTGGGTGTAAGGGTGCTGTTAGTGTGAGGGTGCTGTTAGTGTGTGGGCGCTGTTAGTGTGAGGGTGCTGTGTGTGTGTGAGTGCTGTTTGTGTTTATTGTGTGGGGGAACCGTTTAATTAATATCCCCCCTCCCTTCTTACCTTTTGTAGGGAGGGGCTACCATGCTGCTGCCATCCCTGGTGGTCCAGTGATGAGTGAACTCTAGCTTGCAACTGTAAGACTGGATATTTTTCAGGCGTCTCGCACTGCCATGGACTTGTCACCTAATTTCTGCTTTCCAGCTTATCTCTTTCTCAGATCTGGCAAAAGGCTTGTCAGAAATCACACACACAGGAGAACGCAATGTATTTCATCATGCCCTTTAATTTCCCCCTCCCAACAAGGAGATATATAGATGTTTTTAGTCTAAGGTGTTACACTTTATTCAACCAATCACAGACTGGCACAGTATTCTTTGCAAACCAACCAATTGTAACACATCACGTACAATTCTGTATATTAGGGGGGATAAGCCAACTTGCTCAGCATAACTTAGGGAGGGTTGGAATACTTGTTTTTCAAGCAGAGAAGAAACACCTACTAAGCCTTTTAAAACATTTCACTGATACCACTACAAAGTCTCCAAGCATTATATATAATTTGACGAATCAAGCCAAAGCAATACAATTGACCCTAACACCAACAGAGTTCTCCAACCTCCTTTCCCAAGAGCCTCAACAGCACTTGCCATCAGCCTCTCGTGGGGGCTGTCGTCTCCCCAATTTGACTCCGCCTCTTCCTTCTTTTTTCCTAGTTGCACAGACAACGAGACATCAAACCACCAACAAACTTCCAGAACTAGGGCGGGCGGGTGAGAAATTCAGCCAGGTTCCCTCAACCATTTCTGCTGACTGGTAGGTTTTTACCCTCCTCTCCACAAACAACCTTTGAATTTGCAACACTAGTATCCTTTCAAATCCAGCGCACAATACATGGGCAGCAGTCACGCTCCCCTTTCCCAAGTTGTCCAGGGGGAACCTGCCTTTTCTAGCAACTCGATGATATGCATTAAAACAATTCTGTATCATTCTACTTGTTTGCTTCTTTTATATCATATTCTTCTTTTTATTTTATTTCCGTTTGCAGTTAAAACTAGATGCGGTTTCCTGTTAAGAAACAACGATTTTGGCAAACGACTACAAAAAGGATACGGTGACACTGCAGAAAGTTAAAGCATAAAGAAACCAGGTATGTATAAATGAAGTGATATTCATAACATGGTGCACTATCCAAATATTTCATCCCTGAAGGAGTGTCACAATAGCACAATAATCCCTTTTTTTGTTTGAGTTGCAACAGAACAAAATGTAACTAAGCTACCTCCTGGAGGTTATGATTTAGCCCAGGGGTAAGCAACGTTTGTAAGTATATAATCAAGTGAGTGTGTAACCATGTCTTTGTTTTAAGGAACACAACGATTTCATCCGATAACGGAGAAAGTTTGACTCAAGAAACATGTCGCAGGAAACTATTGTAGAATGCCTTTATGCAATGGTTCTCATCAGTGATGATAAGCTAAGGAATGGGAAGATATACACTATGTATCATGGGACAACCTTAAAGAATGCTGAAGAAATTATTGCTAATGGATTTAAACCATCAACTGAAGGTTGGTTAGGAATGGGGGTTTATCTTAGTAGAGACAAAGAGAAAGCTGCTGTACACCCTATCTGGTTGAAGGACAAAAAGAACAAAGTTGTTTTAAAAGTCACAGTAAATGTAGGTAGAGTTAGAAAGATCGATGATTTAAATGACCCTCTGACGATGACTTGGCATGCGAATGGTTATGATACAGCTTGGCTACCACAACATACGATTCCAAATGTTGGAGAGATAGTTTGTGTGTGGGATCCCAAAATGATAAAGTTGATAGGGGTCGTAAAGGCTCCAAGAAAACAACTTGGGCGTTTCCCTGTTTCACACGACTTCATATGGTGTGAGGAGAACTCACCAGGCTTTCGTGATGTGCATCTCTCCAGTAATGAACGACCAGAGGATGACAAGATTTACGTCATGTACCATGGCACAACCCTAGCTTCAGCTATTAAAAAAATCAAGAAAGGATTTAAGAGATCAATGGAAGGCTTATTAGGGAAAGGGATCTATGTTACTAGAGATGTAAACACAGCAGCCCAGTACCCTCGGGGTGACCAAAGTAGCCAGGTTATCCTAAAACTCAGAGTAAATGTTGGCAAAGTGTTGAACATAGATCATCGTGGTAATCCAATGCAGAAGAATTGGAATTCAGACTATGATATGGCTTATGTTCCTGCATACAGCCGCATTGTTAAACATGGGACAGAAAGAGATTGTGTCTGCGATCCAAAAAGAATCAAAGTGGTAGGCATCGTAGATGCTCCCAGGAACTGCCTTGATTATCTGGAGACATTAGTTGAAAAATGTAAAAAGTAAAAACTGAAGATATATTATTCATTTCCTGTGGACAAACAATTTAAAATTAGCTTGATTACTTTTATCTGGAAAATGTATTTTTGTCAGACAGGACATGAAAGCACAGCCAGCAGTTTAAGGTAGTCTGAAGCTATTCGTGTGAAAACAATTATAAAGTAACTCTCAGCAGCATTACCACTGCAGCTCAGTCTATTATTACAGCTCAGTTTTCTTATTAAGTTGGGTGCCTGTTTCTGTTTTATGACAAACTGTTTAACAGCGATTTGAAAAAAGCCAAACGAACTGGGCTCTCCATAGCACCAGGGGAAAAGTGTGGGTCACTTGGGTAAGATTTAAATAAACAAACGATTGTCCACAAACATAGTTTTACAGCAACGGGGAGTAAACGGGAAGTAACACTTCCCTCCACTGGGGTTACATCCAACACAACACCTATTGCCTGTTGGCACACCAATCCACTTACGCAGCCAAGGGTGGGTCCCTTTAACCCTATGTATATCAACCCTAGTTTATACCTTCATTGTATAAATGCTCAATTATCGATGTATGCAATTGTGGCACATACCACATTATTTAGTCTCCTTTCTGTTTTGTATTGTTTTTTCTGTTTTATATGTTCATACAGATAAATCCTTGTTAAAGTATGATATCACATTGTACACCCTTAACAAAAAAAATGCATTTCCTTATACGTGCTGTCATGTAATACCTGAAAACACAAAAAAGTACGACTTACAAAAAATAGTGGCATTTAAAAAGCCTATCACAATTTACCTTCGTGGCATGTTGCCTATTGACATATTTGCCCAGTACAAAGAATTAAGGTGCCGCAATCAGATTACTACTATTTAATTAAGGCAATAATTCATATAATTTACTATGACTATTATTTTGCTAATCAATAGACAAATTAACTTGTTTTAATAATAACAGTTCGTTGGCACACTGGGCAATATGTTGACAAAAGGTGACAAAAGGTGGTCCATTATTTTTAAAGGGACACTATAGGCACCCAGACCCACTTCAGCTCAGTGATCTGGGTGCAGTGTCTCATGTCTCTTTACCCTGCAAAGGTAATTATTGCAGTTTTTAAGACCAGACAGCCATTAGAGGGACTTATGGGTTGTTAGGTTACTTTTGGTCGCCTAACTGACGCTGGACGTCCTCACGCTGTGCATGAGGGCATCCAACGTCACCCGAAACCCCATAGGAAAGCATTGTATAATGGGGGAAGTCCTAAAGAGAGTGCGGCCCCAAAGCAGGGCCGGACTGGGGATACAAAGCAGCCCTGGAAAAAAAATTTGTGCCAGCCCCATAAGTCACTGCGCCATATATTGTCGCGTGTAATATGTAAGGCTATGTCTTGCCAGGACAGATAATTGAGTAATATATATATATATATATATATATATATATATATATATATATTGCTTTTTCTAATATAAAATATTGGTCCTTTCAGGGTAAAACGTTTAATTATACAGTAAGCATACGCACATGCAGACACAGGCAATTTTACTGACATTTCAGTGACACATACAAGCTCATTGATACACAGCCTCATAGACAAACAATCTTACTGATATACATCAGCTCATTGACATAAAAACACAAGCTCACTCACTAGCAGGCACACGCATGCAAGCAAGCTCACTCACTAGCAGACGCACACACAGCTTAATGTGGTGGTACTGGTGTCTATAGCATGTCGCTACAGGCTTTTCAACGTAAACACTGACTTTTCAGAGAAAAGGCAGTGTTTACATTGCTTCAAAGTGACATTGCTAGTGACAGTCACTCAGACGGTCACTAGAGGTGCTTCCTGTGTTAGTGCCCTCCCGCCCTCGCGCGCTGCTGAATGAGACTGGCGCCGGAATATGACGTCATATTCCGGCGCCGGTCTCATTCAGCTGCGTGCTGGGGAGCAGAGCCAGCGCAGCTCGCGCAGCTCCCTCAGCGGCCGCCAGGACAAGTCCGCCAGCGGCCGCCAAAAGACCTCCCCAGCGGCCAGGGGAGGGCTGGCAGCCTTAGGCCTGGGGGGCAAAACCAGTCAAGTAGACTGGTGCACCTGCCCAGGATCAGAGCCGGTGCAAGGATTTTTGCCGCCCTAGACAAAATAAAAATTTGCTGCCCCCACATGTCACATCACAATGCCCCACCCATATGATCTGCCATATGAACTAACGCCAGTGCTGCACACAGTGTGTGTTTACATTAAAAAGCCTGCAGGGACCAGCTATAGACACCAGAACCACTTCATTAAGCTATAGTGTCCCTTTAATGTGAGGTAAATTATAGATTAGTGTCACTAATAATATACTAGATTGCCTACTTACAACCAAATGAGGATGATGATGGGCTGCAGTTTGGCTCCACTAGTCTGGTGTAGAACAGGATCTCTGGAGGCTGTTTGCAACTGTGATCGCAAAATTCAATGTTCTGAGAGAATTGGAAGCAGCTCCATTTTTTGGGGGCCCCTTACACAGCTCAAGGTCTGGGCCCCAGGGCCTGACGGTGAGTATGCGCACAAGGCCCACTCATAAGTCCACTTATATGTTCCACCCACCCATGAGTTCGCTCACAGGGAGTGGAGTGTGTAGGGGATGTGTTATGTGTTATTGTAGAGGATCTAATATGTGTGCTTATGGTATGTAGTGTTTAGGGTTACCAGTTTGTGCAGGTGATGCAGTGTGTTTGTGTGTAGTGGAAGCAGTGTGTATTTGTGTATAAGGGATGTATTATGTGTTTCTGGTTGTGTGTAAGGGATGCTTTGTGTGAATCTGTGTTTGTATGCATAAGGGATGCAAGGTGTGTGTCTGTATGTGTGTGCATGAGATGCATTGTGTTTCTGTGTGTATGTAAGAAAAGAAGTGTGTGTGTTTGCATGCGTGTGTACGGGTTTGCATTGTCTGTTTCTGTGTATGTGTGCAAAGGATGCGTTGTCTTTGTGTGTAAGGGTTGCATTGTGTGTGTGTGTGTAATGGATGCATTGTGTGTTTCTCTGTGTGTAAGGGAAGCATGTTGTGTTTCTGTGTATGTATAGGGATGCATTGTGTGTGTGTGTGCGCGCGTAGTGTGAAAGAGCTCCCTGTCTTGGCCCCTGTCCTATAGAGCTGCCCCTTCTTCTTATTCCCCTCCCTCCCCTCTTCTTATTCCCCCCCTCTTTTTATTCCCCCCCTCCCCTCTTCTTATTCCCCCCTCCCCTCTTCTTATCCATCCCTCCCCTCTTCTTATTCACCCCTCCCCTCTTCTTATTCCCCTCCCTCCCCTCATCTTTCTTACCCCCCCTCCTCCCTCTCTTCTTAACCCCCCCTCCCTCTCTTCTTACCCCCTCCCCTGTAGCGTGGCCGAGCTGCACTCCGGTCCGCGGTGGCCGGTGGCCGGTGCACTCCTGTTCCGCGCGGAGTTTCTGTTTCCTGTCACCAGCCGGACTGACAGGAAGTGCACACTCAGTGTGCACCTTCCTATCACTCCGGCCGGCCGGCCACCGCGGCAGGGGAGGGAGGGGAGAAGCTGCAGCCGCCTGAGGCTCTTAACAGAGCGCTCGGGCGGCTGCAGTATTTTAAAGGGCCGGCCCAGGAACGCGGCCGGCCCCCAGGTGCCGCGGCCCACCGGGAAATTTCCCGGTATCCCGGTGGGCCAGTCCGGCCCTGCCCCAAGGGGTTTCCCGGAGTGGGAGGAGGGCGCAATAAGGAACTACAGTGCCAGGAAAACAACTTTTTCTTCCTGGCACTAAAGTTTCCCTTTAAATTGATTTTATTTTCTTGCTAGGGCAACAAAGATTTATTATGCCCTGTATGCATGTAGTCGAAAACTGCTTAGTAGATTAATATAGTTTAATAGACTGCATGGGTAAATATACATTTATGAAAATGTTAGTCATGAACATATGACATGTTCAATTTGTAAATGTTTTATTACATTATTGTGTAACTGTTTTTTTCTACATTCAATATATTGTATCAGATGATATTTGTCAATTTTATTCCCCTGTTTTTCTTTATATTGAATCTTGTTATGTTTATTACTGAATAATTATATTAATTTTAAAAAAGTATTTGAAGACAAAAAAAAAAAATAAGAAAATAACTTTGTAGATGAAGCTTTTTTCCAATTTTGTTATTTTGGCATAAAATGTAAGAACTCGGTGGATAATTTCTAGCAGTTCACTGTTCATTAAATGCTTTTGTGTATAATTGCAATAAGTAAAAATAGTTTTGTGATTTGGGGGATTTCTAATTAAATTGACATTTTGTTAACCATATATATGTCGTTTACTTTTATTTATACATGCATTTTGGCACAAATACAGGTTTATTCACTGAAGTTAGAATTAAAAGTGAATTTCAAATGTAAGACCAAAGCAGCCGAACTAGGAAGCATAGCAGACTTAGCGAATGTATCTAGTTGGGCTATTTTGCCTTAAATATAAAATGAACTTTGAATTCTCCGATAAAGTCCCACTGTAAAGAAGAAATAATTATTCAATACAAAGAGAACACAATGTTCCTAACACAAGTGCAAAGGTTAAATGTCTTCCTAAGGAAATTGAACCAAAGTAGTTAAGTGGAACCTTTGCCGGCCAGATGACCAGAAGAAACACATGCACAGGTCGATATAGGGTATTAATGTTTTTTTTTTATATCCAGATAAATTTGGAAGTACATTGTTGACAAAGAAACTGACCAGAATTAATAGGAACACTTTAGATTACCTCCAGAACCAAATTTATAACTGGAGAAAGTCCAGGGACACACAGAAATATGGTGATTCAATTATATCCAAAGGGGATTGAGCGAACACTGCATCGGGTGACACTACATATAGTGAGGTCTCAAATACAGAGCCAAACCACTAGAGATATCACTTGGGCAGAACCTGCCAATACAGGAAATGGTGATCAACATATCTTCTTTTTTTTGTTAGCCTCTTTTTATGAAGGCAAGTTTTCTATACAGTAAACCAGGGGTGCCTAAAAAATTAGATCCCCAGATGGTTTAAAACTACAGCTCCCGTGATGCTTTGTCATGCTAAAGGCATGCAAAATATAGAAAAAGATGTAATAGGTGCTTACTCCAATATTAAATGCAAAGTATTTATAGGCAGCGGTAACTAGTACAAGGGTTCCCAGCCTTGTGAGAGAAGAGTCAGACAGAAAAAGAAAAGAAACCGCGCCCCAAATAGCAATTATAAAATAGTATACGTACACAAAAACTATTTAAATGATTCACATTTAACCTCAAAGATAAAAACAGAGAGGGAATATAATAGTGCAATATGATTTGATAAATAGGTGAGGTATTGAAATGGATTAAAGAAATGTACACTCACATTTGATAGAGCTGATTAGGAGCTCTACCGTAATTCGCATGGACAGAAAAATCCCCGTCTAAGGATCTATGTGGAAGCGAGTGTCTCCAATATTCCAATTTCAATGTGCAGCAATATAAAAGACATAAAAGAAAACTCCAATAGTGTAGTATATTCCGGTAAATTGAAGAGAAAATGGAATTAAAATGTAGTACTCACATTTACTACGTGCATACATCTCAGTATTCAAAACACCAACACTATACACCCCCGAATTCAAAGTCAGCATTACATATAAACAAACTACCTTTTGGCTGCTCTTGCAGGGTTGTATTTAGCCCCAAAAATATTGCACCAGGGCCCGTTCTACTTTAGTCCCACCACTGTGATGAACCATCTTGATGCATATCTCTAAAAAATCTATTTGGTTACTCTCTTTTTTTTTTTTTTTTTTGCCTAAAATATAGATGAGTTTATTATAATCCACCAGGCTGCCCGAATATAACAGGCACAAATTCTCTATTACTGTAACCATTCTCCATCTTCCTTGACTGAATATTACAATCACTGGTGGTTGTATCCCTTATACTATTTAAATTAAATCTGGACGCATTTTTTTTATGAATCACTGAAAATAACATATTACATGTAATATAACCTTGTGTTTATTTTTGTGAGAAATACAGTTAGTAACTTTTCAGTGCATTTCTTGGCTTACTCATACTCTATGGGGAATGAACATATATTTTCCTCTTTGGTTTTAAAGCAGTTCTGTCACCTTCTCGGGTCTTTTCATATTTTGCAAGGATCGCAAATAGTGTTAATTCCACTACCATTCTGGTGGCCATGGGGAGCAAGGTTCCGCCCCCTTGAACCTGTCCCTGTCTTTCGCGGGCGCTACCATTTTCTTTCTCGAGGCCCTCTTCACCTCCTGGTCCTTCATCTTTTAACCCCTTCAGGACGGAGTCAATAGTGCACGTTCTGATCAAAACAAAACGTAAACAAAAACTGGAATTTGTGCCAAATGTCTGCCCAACCATAATTCACCACTGTCACATTAAGTGCACCCACACTTATTATATATCATTTTGTTCAGGTGAAACAGGGCTCTAATTTATCATTAACTATTCATATATGGAACATAATTTATTATGAATAAAATTTAATAAAATGTGAGAAAATAAGATTTTTTTTATATATTTGTATTTCCGTTTGACATTTAACTGTGAATGTCATAATACTGTTAGGTTTTACTGCAAAAAAATGCACATATTTGTAATCAGCGATGTCTCATGAGTACAACAGTACCCCCCATTAACAGGTTTTATGGTGTTTTGGAAAGTTACAGGGTCAAATATAGAACGTTCCATTTTCAAATTGAAATTTGCCAGATTAGTAATGTTACCTTTGAGACGGTGTGGTAGCCCAGGAATGAGAATTACCCCCATGATGGCATACCATTTGAAAAAGTAGACACCCAAGGTATTGAAAGTGGGGTATGTTGGGGCGGAGCCAAGCTATCGAACTGAGCGGTCGCATGTCTGCAAGGCTCCGAGAGCCAAATACTATTAACAGCGATTTTTACCACTCACACCCAAACCTTACGAACCCCAAATGGATCCACCGACGGCCCTTGATACCATGGGCAGAAAATCTAAAAAACAGAAAGCTGACAAGCCGATATGTGGCGGCAAGCACATGGAGGCTCACTGTCCAAGATGGCCTCCTATCTGGGAGAGAGCTCCGATTTCTCAGACGATCAAGCTCTGGAGCCTGACCTCCTTAGCCCACCAATACCGCAAAACCTACCTCCACCGCAACCACCCGTGGTCACCAACCCGGATACTGCACCGGTGACAAAAGCCGACATGCGGGAGATGCTGGTGGGCCTCCGGAGGGATATCCATACGGATATGACCACGTTCCGCAAGGACCTGCAAGGCCTAACAACACGCACAGGTATCTTGGAAGAAAACTCCCGCAACACCAAGGCACAAATTACCCACCTGCAGCAGGAAATAACCGTGCTCCACCAGCAACAAACAGCAATGGAACAGAGGTTTGCAATACTGGAGGACTCCAGGCTCAGTATGAACCTAAAGATCAGAGGGTTGGCGGAGGCAGTACCCGATGAGGAGCTATCGCACTTTCTAAGGCGGCTACTCGGTGCACTACTCACCCCAAAACAAGCCAAGTCAATCACAACTGTGGGTCTCTTCCAGATCCCACGACCACTCAAGGCTCCCACTACAGCTCCACGGGACGTGATAGTAAAATTCCAAAATGGGCAAGACAAGGCAGCGGTGTTGGGCGCACTCAGGGGAAACTCCCCATACAGCTTTGAAGGCTCCTCGCTCTCATTCTATGCCGATCTATCAGGGAGCACCCTCGCCTGGAGAAATCGTTACAGCCACTCACAGAGGTATTGCGAGCTCACAACATCACTTACCGCTTGAAGACCAACCGCACACTGGTAGTCCAGAAGAGTGACACCTTCTACCCGATCAGGAACCTTGCCAGAGCAGAGACTATCCTGGAACCCCTAGGTCTCCCGAGATAACTCCTCAGCCGCAAGGGACCAACCACGACCGGTACACATGTCTGGGACCCAGCACACACAGCCCCGTTTGTTCCATGGAGAACCTCAGCCGACACCTACGAAGCAGCCACCTCATGAACTCACACGGCTAAAAAAAGGGACTAGTCCTTAAGCCTATGACAGAACTCTCCACCATACCGGCTATAGACCTACCAGGTCCACTTTGACGCCCACCCCCCCTACACACAACATGACATGAGAACCCAGGGGACACTTTAGCTACCTGCACCCCTCAGGGATCTACACGTGAACACAAATAGCCCGCTCCTAGTAGTCACACACTACTCCATCTCCCCCCAGTTAACACTCCTTTCCCTGCCTGTGGAGTTGGACAAACTCGGTCTGCACACCTCACTAGCATACACGTGAGCCATACCTCCAGCGAACTATGGCCCTCACATATTGTATAGGGCTCCGTGTAGCAACACCAAATTAAATAGTTACCTAAACCTCATTACCCACCGTAGCATGTCGATCTTCGACTAGTATTATCCCCCTGTATCAAACACACAAAATAGCGCAATATTCTTAAGCCATGCCACTATATGTATCTGCCTTTGCTTAGACCACACCAGCCGAAGTGGCGAAGTCTAATATCGGCATCACACAAACTAACAAGCTTATGATATGGAAGGAGAGCACGCAGAGATCTCCCACAGCAAGGTCGGGCACTGAATAGTCACTAACCCCCTTAGGTATATGCCCTGACCAACATCATAATGCTGATTGACCCCCCCTACATATAAAGTGGGGGCAGGGTTAGTCAGCTGTAACTCACAGCAATCTATTGTACATGTTCCACCAGTTATGATTTGGTTTGTTTATGTTGATAGTGTTTGTCTCTGATTGTAATGTAACCGACCAAACCTGTATTGCCTTTCTGCACCATAAGCATAGTTAAGCAAAAAAGGGGGATGATCTGCTGAACCAATCATAAATAAAACAACATAGCGTATAACTGTGTATGATGACAAATTGTAGAAGTTATATTCACAAATGGCCACTCACACTTTTGCTGAAGTTTGCAAGCCTTGAATATTTTCCTTTTCAAAATAGGAATTCCAAATCCTCTGTCTGGATTAAAATCTCCATAGATATATTGGCATGTATGTGCTCAGGAAAGAAATGTATATAAAAGAATATAAGATGCACATTCAGAGTGAAGTACAAAAAAGTATTTAATAACTTACATCAAGATATAAAATCATCAGTGTAGTCCCTCTATGTCACCACCAGGGGTCCTACGCGTTTCATCCAACCAAATAGGACTTCCTCAGGGACTTGTATGGTGTGTGATCAACAGGTACAAATAAACAATGAACAATAAAAATTTCCCTGCCTCCCCAGTTCTTATATATCCCTTCAGTGTCCACATAATGAGTGATCTTTTGCA